AAAGAGCCAAAAATATGAATAAATCAGGAAGTAGGAAGAAATGTTTTGAATTATAATTGGCATCAGATACTCCAAATATTCTTCTGATAAGAAGTTAAAATTTAAAAATATTAGTCTATTGAGGGCCGTTCTTACAATGTCCGGTTAAGTGTCGGTTAAGGCTAACCGGTAGAATTCTATCAGTTAACTCATGATAAATTCTTCCAGTTAGTGCCTGCGATCACTAACCGAACATTGTAAGAACGGCCCTTAAACTTTCGGTTCACCATTTATGTATACTGTATACACAATTCATTGTAAATAGATAAACATATTTCTTTAACTACTTAACTTTGTGTACAATTAAATAAGATACAAGAAGGTTTTATAGTATAATCCCTGATGCCATTATAGTATGCACAATGATGTACRTAAAGGTAGTACATATACATTATATACAACAATTTAGTTGAGTATCAAACATTTGTTTATAATATTAAACAAATGTATGACAAACAATATATGTATAAAAAAATACAAAATAAATAAAAAAGAAGAAAGTTATTAAATATTTTAAACTGTATTGTTACAGTTACGAGATCGAAAAATAAAACAAACAAAAATAATAATAATAATAATAATAATAATAATAATCATAATAATAATAATAATAATAATAATAATAGTAATAATAAAGTTACAGTACAAAACACAGTAAAGAGTATAAACACAATTACATAAACAATATAATAAATATACAGAAATTGGATTTTTCAGTTGTCCGCACAAATACATAGATTACTACAAAATATGATTCACATATGAACCACRAGAGATTCTAAAATGCATATAGTACTAAAAGTAGAGTAATAGTATCTTATTAATAATAGATCGAAAGTATTGGCCAGTATAAATGTTAGTGTACACTTCATATTTCATCTATATTATTCAGTATTTTTTTTCCTACAGACAAAACTTTAATTTTTTAAATATTGAATGTACACAGGATGAAGACAAGGAGCAAATGAAAGAGATATTGGAAATGAAACGCATTCACAATCGGTATGTTGAAAGAATGCGTGCTAGAGACCTGAGCAGCAAACTAACGTCTTCGTGCGGAAAAAATGCAAATAATGGGACAATTAATCTAAAAGCAAATAAATAATATTTGTATAATAATAATTTTAAGTCGATAAGAAGTATGTACAGAATTATATATATATTATGTATAGCTGTATAAAATACATAAATTATATTTATAATGTATATAATTAAGATACTTTCAGCAAAGATATTTTGTTAGCTAAAATAAGAAAAAAATAAAAACCAACAATATAAATCCTAAACATAATGAAAAAGAAAAAAAAATAATTTAATCATACATGTACAGATTACAGTAAAAATGTTGTCCTAAACATCTAAGAAAAATGATTAACAAAAAATAAAAATGTAAATATTCTCTGGCTAATGTTTTCATTACCTATTCTTAAACGTAAATAACTGATGAGATTTACTTTAGCTAATTTATTTAAAAGTTCAAATTTAATAATTTAATAATTTGTAGTTGAACAGAGCACACACTAAAATTTAATAAAGGGCAATTTTTTTCAGTATAGGAATATTATTTAATTTTGCTTAAAACGAGTTTCTAAACTCAAAAAGAATTGATTTTATCAGTCTCCAATTCCCAAAAATCTTAATAGTAAAAAATGATTATGATAATGGCGTACAACATTTACTTAATAATAATTTTTCACTCCAAATCTCTTCCTTTTTATACAAAATAATACCTAATCAATTATAATAATAATAATACAATTATGTTAAGTTRATAGTAATATGCTAAATATGAAAAACAACAATTATTTTTCCTTGTGTTTTGTTTTTAAATTTAAATAATTAAATATTTGAATGTGTATATTATAAATACAATAAATACACTAATTATTTATTATTATTATTTTTTTTTTCCTTTTTTTATAACTTTTTGTTTAGACATAACAAAGCAAGAATACTGGATCAGAATATGATAACAAAAATTATTGTATCCGTAATAGAAGAAAAACAACATTAAATTTTACTAAATGTTCAATAACTGGCCATTGATAATTTTATTACCTACATTCAAAATATAAGAAGACCAAGGAACATATTAAACACTGTGACCACCAGGGCACAAGTATACCACGCAAGCRATATTACCGATCAATCCACGTAAATTGAATTAATTTGAATAATACATCAAACAAATTACATAAACAAAAACCCAAAATCAATAGCACCGATTTTTTTGTATACAAATAAAAAAGGGCATTTTAAGATTTTATAAAGACAAATATAACAAGAAAACTATATTCTAAAAAAAAAATAATAATAATAAAATAAAAAATATAAAAAATATTTTATCCTATTCATTACATTTAAAGTATTAATAATATATAAATAACAATAGTAAATAAAAAAAAAAAAAATGTAAGAATTCTATTACTATTTCTGCGTATACTTTTATATTGCAAATAGTTGAGGTTAAATGTTAAATATAACAATATATTGCAAACTGAAAATTCATTTTTAACAAAAAGCCTTAATATATACATTATATATATATATATAAATGTATGTGAAATTATACTAACATCGAATAAAAGTAAAAGAATGATGACTTATGGAAACATAATTGGTATTCAAAATCTTCAACATTGGACATAAAACCATAATAATAGCTAATAGCTATTATTTGTCATACAATTTATATTAAAACATTGTAATTTGCTATCAAACATATTTAATGTATTAATTAATATAATTGATTAAACGGTATTCACTTGTGGCATCATGAGAACTAAATATGTTGGTAAATATTCTAATTAGTATTTACAATAGTAAAATGTTTATAAACRTAAAATGYAATAAAAATGTATAAACATAAGTCATTCCAATTGAGTATAATAACATTTAACATGTATTGGGAAATTGTAAAGAAATCCGAAACAACAGTATGAACATTTTTATACAAKACAGTGTTTCAGAATTTATTTAAGAAGATATTGAAGATAAAATAGGGGTGGTAGTAACACAAAATGTACAACCTCCTTTATTAATGAAGTCACGAAGCTTGTTTGCCAACAATAACACCAGGTCTGGACGGCCGTACAGGACTATTTGATGTTACCACCGTTGAACCCTGAGGAGTCTGAGAACCACTGTGGAACTGGAGGAAAGGGTTCATTTCCACCTATAAAAAGAAATGTATGTTAGCTTTGTACATCAATTCAAGTTTGAACGTGTGTTCCAAACAAAACTTACTTTCAACAATTTCTGATTGCTAGTTGCTGCGTGTTTGGTTAACGCAAGAGGTGCTTCCTGATGATCATCACTAAACAGGTGATCACCCTCTAGGTGTCTAATTGCTTCGACAATGGTCTCCAAATTTTGTCTGGAGGTACTGGTGAGGTAAACGCGCGCGGACGGCAGTACTTGCTGCTGCTGTGGGGCTGGCTCTTCTTTGGCTGGATTCAATCGATCATCTTCAGGTGCAACAGTGATCTCAGTCTTAACAAGTGCAGAATCTTCTTCCGGCTCTCGCTGGATTACCAGATTGTCAGACTCGTTCACTTCGATAATCTCCATACCAGCTTCTTCACCGACCACACACTGAAATGTAAAAATTGTTTTCAAGTGACGAATTTTATAAAAGACAATAACTAAAACTGAATGATCCTCTTACCGAGTTTGTATTATGATGGTATTGGATCGTAGTCTGRGTATTGTCGGTGGTAGATTTTGGGTCTACAAACACTTCGCCTAAACGAGCTGAATACACTTTTACTTGCTCCTCTAACTCGACACGTAGACTTTGCTCTCTTTCTAATTGCGCTCTTAATTCGGCTACCTCGTCGATCATCAGTCCTCCATCGTCTAAACCTTAAAAAATAAATTTTTATTAATGAACAAACGTCAAACAAGATAGAACATAAACTATTTATTTTTTCTAGTTTCTTACAGCTAACACCGCTATCACGCATTCGACTCCGCTTTCAACTTAGTACGTATATATTTTTTTAAAGGAGCATGAGTGTTAAAGTAAACAAATTAATCAGAAAATAAATGTTCTTCCAGATAAATTACAAAATATGTCAATTATATTATACGCTTACATCAATGAAAAATAATGAATCACAGATTAATTAACTGTAACAAACTAGTAATAGCATATAGGACATAGGTCAATAAATTTGATCCAATCAATGGTCTTATCTATCTTCTTTAATAGTAAAATAATAAATAAAAACAACAGAAATTTTTCGAATTAAAATTAAGTATTGAATAAATTGTTCGAAACCTACTATTAGTAATTTGGATAATTAGGTAACTGAAATTTCAATCGTAAATCAAACATACAAAAACGATTCTGAGGAATGGCGTGTCATTTGTGTCAACGTATATTTATTATGCATATTATGTTATGTTACTACTTCATTTATTTTTCTATTAGAAATACAATAAGTTTACCAAAAACACAGAATATATTAATTTTCATTATTAACATTTGTACTTATGTGCTGTAAAACGAAGATGTATGGGTAAATACCATAAAATTAACGTGAATATTTAATTGAAAATGTTAATGATTGAAAGCTATTAAAACCGAGAATCCTATGAATTTTTCATTAAAAAATAATTTACAAATAGTTATTATTTAGTCAACATTTTAACYTTTACTGTAATAAAAAAAATAATATTTAAAACTCCATAGAATCTTGAATTATAAAAACAAAAATATAACAAAATCGATTTTTGAAGAAAACTGGTATGTATAAATATTCTCGTACTTTTTTTTTAGTTTTAGTTTTTCTTGATTATTTTGAAAAATATTGAAAATAATATTTTACTTTTGATTCCCTCCCACCACCAACGCCAAAATTCAAACTACATCCATAAAAAAAATACATTATTGTAAAACCGTTATGGCTACTATCAGAATCTAAAAGTAATATTATTTTAACATAGCGTGTTAATTTATYCAAAGAAACTTTTTATGCTGACWTCCAAAATAATATTACAAACAAGCAAAAATGTTTAAAATGTCCTGTCGTGTGTCACTGAACCATGTTATAGAATATGGATTCACTATAAGAGCTATACATATAAATAATAGCACGTGTAATTTAGTTCGAAATATTTAACTTAAAAATGTAATCTAATCGCTTTGTAAGCAATTATTTAAATGCACCAACATCAACTTCCTAGTTCCCGTTATTATGTGTCATAAATCAAAATGTAACCACACATAATATTATTATATATAAACATTAAACACAATCGTAACCCTGACGTATAAAACAGAATAAACACAATATACCACGTTTCAAAAACAACCATATTATACTGTATATATAAATACACAATGCAGTGTAATAGTTATTTAAAACACATCATTTTTATGTAGTCGCTTTATTTGTAGTTAATTTGTTAATAGTAAGAAATGATTTTGAATATCATCAAGGTGAAAAAATATATTGTTGGTTAAGAACGGGATAGAACTAGACTCAACTTGCTATAGTAACAAATTTTTAATTTTAATTTGGTTGTAAAATTGGGAAATTTTCATAAGTCAAAATAATTAAATATTCATATCATGTATGTATTTGTTTTATTTAAATGCATTAAGAGCTGAAACTATAGTATTTATAATCAATGTTAATATTTAATCTCTATTCATACGCATGTATATGATGTACCTACATATTATGCTTTTATATTTATTATATAATAATGCAGAGTGTCGTATAAAATTGTAGAACTACGTAGGTCTTAGACTTAAATTACAAATTCTAATCTAGAATTGTAACAAAACATATAGGAATATAAAAAAAGAGTTAACTACAAATCGAAAACTGTATAAGAATGAATTAAAACAAAATGCATTGTCCTACAATACAATATTATTTAATTTTTAAATGTATAAAAACACGGAATACTAACTTTTCGAGATAAATTGAAAAAAAACTTAATATTTGAAGCCATTTTCAATATATTTTGTTGTATACTAATAATTTTGGGTTATGTGAAAAGTACAATAATTATTATTAAAAGTTGTAGCTAATACACACGAGTTCTTTTATTTACAGACACTGCGTAAAACAATTATGCCGGACATCTTTA